ATCCACACCCACCCACCCTCACACATCCATATCAACAGCCATCCATCAACACGAATAGCTGTAGCCAAAGCTACAACCACGTCCACATCCATAGCCACACCCACCAACCGCGGCATCAACACCCTCGCACCCATTCACACCCACAACCACACCCACCCTCACCATCCACATCACCATCCATCCATCTACACGAACAGCTATAGCCAAAGCCACAACTACATCCACATCCATACCCACCAACAGCGGCATCCACACCCTCACACCCATTCACACCCACACTCACACACCCCCACCCTCACCCACACCCACACCCCACACCCACACCCACACCAACAACCACACCGACGCCCACACCCACACTCACACCATATCCAACATTGGTCTTCATCAATGATGTTATTCACGTTTATGTTGATTTTCTACCTATTGTTGCAACAACATCAACTGATGATGCTTTAGCACTATTATTGGCGATGTACGCTATATTTGAATTAAATTTTCATAAATACAGTCGTTCTATACGTTTATTATATGCAATCTTTTTTTCTGATAAACGATTTCTATCCAATACACTTCGTCAATTTGTACAGGATAAACAAATCGATATTTATTCTGAATTAAATCAAAAACAATCCATTAACAAAAACCCGATTGTCAACAAAACCACACAAAGTAACTATAATTCTTCATATTTCTCAAACGTAAAACTTTTTCAATCAGGTTTATCTATCATTGAACAAGAAAATTCTATAAATGAAAATATTCTCAAAGTAGACTTTGACACCTCTTCAAATAAGTAAGCACAATTTTTCTAAAATCTAGTGAACGAACTTTGCATCATTCTTTCATACAAATATAGTGATAATATTGATGATTTATGTTCTACATCATTTGATTCTCCAACACAATCGATGAATCAACAAAAACAACAACAATCATTACGTAATACAACAACACAAAAAAGTTCCATTACACACATTTACAAAGATGATGAAAATGAAAATGATACTTCAATACTTTCTCACACGATGTTACATCGTGTGCCAAAAGAAACACGAAAAAGAAGACGTCGATTTTAATTCATATTTTAGTTTCAAACATAACTATTATTGTTTTACATAGATTTCTTCCTTATGTTTTTTCTCTTGTAAATAACCCTTTAGTGATTCAACGAGCTTGCAAACAAACTATGTATTTTTCTATATATTTGAAATCAACGGCGGCGGAACGATTTCAATCTAGGGGAGGCTCAAAATTTTTTTCAGAGGATGAGGATGATGAGAGGTGAATTTAAAAAGAAAAAAAATCTGGTACTAATAGGTGGTCTGTTGATAATTTACTTCTGATTCTACTTTTCTCAAAACTTGTAAAAATGTCTACATTATAGATGAGATCTACAACTTTTTTCAAATTAAACGAGCCTCCCTAAGCCTTCTCCGTTTTTTAGGGGAGGCTTGAGCCTCTCCAAGCCTAATGGGTCCGCCGCCTATGTTTGAAATATTTATAAAGATGAAAAAATAAAACTTCGCGAAACATTGAACTTCTTCCTTCATTCGAACACGCAACTATCGCATCCTTAAGAAAGAAAACTAATTCAATTTCGCGTAAACCTTCTCCCAAAACAGATTATTCAAACATATCACTCCCAAAATTATTTAACTCTGTTATCACTACACAAAATTTTCGGCTGCACCAATAAACCAATCATCTCATCAACACTTCTTTCTCCATTCTGACCCCACTAAGTTTCATCAGATTTTTTTCAACGTCTATATTCATCATAAGTAAGTATATATACAGAGTAAAAACTTTTCTTTATTTTAGACTGAGTTCAACATTTTATATTCACCACATCCAAGTATATACTGAAAATAAAAATTTTTTTTTTTAATTTTAGGATGTGTTGAAAGTTTGAGTGCATCACATGTAAGTATATAACCAAAATGAATATTTTTTGTTGTTTTAGATTGTGTTCAATGTTTACAATTAGTACAAGTAAGTATATGAACAAAATAAACATTTTTTTTTATTTTAGATTGTGTTCAACATTTAAATTCACCACATGTAACTATATAAAGAAAATAAATATTATTTTTTAGATTGTGTTCAACGTCTAACAGCATCATATGTAAGTATATGAAAAAAAATAAATCTATTCTTTTTTATTTTAGATCGTGTTCAACACCTGACTGCATCACATGTAAGTATATGAAAAAAAAAATAAATCTATTCTTTTTTTATTTTAGATTGTATTCAACATTTAAATTCAACACATGTAAGTATATAAAGAAAATAACTATTTTTTTTTAGATTGTGTTCAACGTCTGACTGCATCATATGCAGGGTTTGCAATAGCAGGTGTACCAAGCAGAAACAAAATGTACAGAACATCTGTTGTTTTTTATGTACACTCTGTTTTACACTTTGGTTGGAAAAACAAAGTGTACGTCGTACACTACAGAATAAATTTACACTTTCATATTAATGCATTAAGAGCGCTAAGAAGTTTTAAATTAAATAGAATGGAAAGGTCATAGTAAATTGGGATATCTTTCGATCGGTCTTATCATTAATTAGATATGCCTTCTTTTTTGCTCGGTCTCTGATAATGATACGACTCTATGCAATACAAAACTCGTTTATGTTTTTTTCTATAAACTCGCGTTTTTCTTTGCTTATTTTTTTGTAAAACGGTAGATAATGAAATAGGATAGGTATTTGTTATTTTTGGATGATTATGTACTTACATTTCTCGGTTATGAATGATCCGAATACTTCAATTTATACTTTATATTTGAAAAAAAGTTGGCTTCCGTATCCGTACACTTTGATACACTTTGGTGATGAAAATAAAGTGTACGGGTACACTTTAGTCATATAAGTAAAATGTACAGATACATTTTGTTTTAGATTTCCATTGCAAACCCTGATCATATGTAAGTATATGAAAAAAAATAAATCTATTCTTTTTTATTTTAGATTGTGTTCAACATTTAAATTCAACACATGTAAGTATACAAAGAAAATAACTATTTTTTTTAGATTGTGTTCAACGTCTGGCTGCATCACATGTAAGTATATGAGAAAAAATAAATCTATTCTTTTTTTATTTTAGATTGTATTCAACATTTAAATTCAACACATGTAAGTATATAAAGAAAATAAATATTATTTTTTAGATTGTGTTCAACGTCCAACTGCATCATATGTAAGTATATAAAAAAAAATAAATCTATTCTTTTTTTATTTTAGATTGTGTTCAACATTTAAATTCAACACATGTAAGTATATAAAGAAGATAAATATTTGTTTTTTAGATCGTGTTCAACGTCTGGCTGCATCATATGTAAGTATATAAAAGAAAAATAATCTATTCTTCTTTTTTAGATCGTGTTGAACGTCTATCTGTGTTGGAAGAAAATCGAAACAAATTTCATTAATTTTTTATGTTTGAGGGTACAGACCTGATCCAAAGGAAATAACACCAATAAAAGAACGGTACACATTTGGTCATAAACTCTTAAAAGGTTTGTAGCAGCTTATATGCTTTCAGAAATCCCTCTATGGGTTAATGGTGGTCGTAATTGATGATATACGCTTGTTAGAGGTATATCAAAGGGTTTATGAAAATCGTATACCGTCATGAGGGTTTATGAAAGTACAACGAATAATATACCCTTAAAAGATATGTGAAAATCATAAATCCTTTCATATACCCTTCGAAAGGGTTTATGAAGGGCTTTATGAATATCATATACCCTTTAAAGATGTATGATTTTCATACACCCTTTCGTATACCCTTTCGAACGGTATATGAAAGTGCATATGAATTTCATAAATCCGTTCAGAAACCCTTTCGAAGGGTATATGAAGGGGTATATGAAAATCATATACCCTTAAAGGGTATATTTTCATTGTACTTTCATAAACCCTTATAAGGGTTTATGAAAATTATATACCCTTTCATATACCCTTCGAAAGGGTTTATGAAATTCACATACCCTTTTATATACCCTTTGAAAGGGTTTATGATATTCATAAACCCTTATAAGGGTTTATGAAAGTTCAACTAATAATAAACCCTTGAAGGGTTTATGAGAATCATATACCCTTTCATATACCCTTTCAAAGGGTTTTTTGAAGGGTTTTTGAAAATCATATACCCTTTCATATACCCTTCCAAAGGGTTTATGAAAGGGTTTATGAAAAGTGTGACATACGGTAAAAAGGGTATATTATTCGTTGCACTTTCATAAACCCTTAAAGGGTTTATTATTGTACGCTTTTTTTTTACAGTGTAGGGACACACAGTTTTCAATCTATTATTTTAACATCTAGGCTGAGAAATGGCTACCACTCAAGCACCACCACCCTATCAAGGTGCTCCGCCTGCTACTGGTGCTCCCCCTTATGGTGCTCCTCAATATGGAGGAGGAGCTCCGATTATTATCATGCAACAACAACAGCAACAACAACAGCAGCAACAGCAACAAGTACAGCAGACAGTTATTGTTCAAGCACGTGGTACTAATCATGGTTTATGTTGCCTCATTTGTTTACTTACGGGAGGATTTAGTTTACCGTGTTGGATTTATGCTTGTATCACTGACTAGGAAAAAGTATTATAAAACTTTTCTTTTTTTTTCTAATTTGATTGATTGATTGCACACAAAATAGTCTCTGATCTTTTCCTTATATTCTAAATAAAATAATGTCATTCTGCGGAAAATGTCACAAGTTAATTGTGGCGTGTATAATATGTAGTGGCTCAGCAGATGCTCATAGCGATGCAACGGTGAAGATATGCAAAGCGACGTTGATCAATTCACAGCGGTAACCGTAGCTACAGTAAGCAGTGAACTGCGACAACAGTTGGTATGGATAACGATTCCACTAGGGTAATCATAGGTACGGCTATCGATCCAAGCCATGTATTCTTGAAAGGATAGTATTTTTAACGCAAATGAAGATACCACATAAAGTTTGAAGAAAGCAAATGGAAGCCGAATATTTCAAATCTAGAATATATTTTTCGAAGATTTGGATTTGGGTTTGCGAACAGGAACCTCCCTCTGAAAATCAAGTTCTCTCTAGAGAAGTTCTTTTAAGGAAAAATTGCTTTGTTAACAAAAATCACTCTTTTCCTTACAAAACAAGTAGCACTCATCCATGTGACTTGCTTGATCCTCGATTGAATATTCGACTCTCTCGGTGCTATATTCTGCTTTACAGTCTTCAACAAGCTGATGTCCAACGGTGCAAAATAGTGAATGAATAGGTATGTGTGGAGGTTGATATTAGCGTCCATCTCGTTCTGCACAATGGTACTAGAGTCCATATGGTGATTTTTGAAATAAATTCATCTAATCAACTCGTTATCCATACATCGATGCTCAAGAGAGATCTAAATGAAGTACACT